ATAACAACTGTAGAATTATTATGGTGTATAATTGTTATAGTGTAGCAATTGTGAAAACCGTAGATTCTTATATATAGTTTGTTGTTGTAAGGATTCTTAGTTGAAGGTTTTATTTACTTATATACTTACACGATTTAAATTGAATTAGCGATTCAATACTATGATTTAAAAGGCTAATATTACTGATAATATATGGAATAAAAATTTGTAGTAGAAATATAACTAGCAAACGATCTTTTGCTTTCTGAATTATTTTGGACGAAATTTGATTCCTATTAAAACGTTTCTAGTGTGGTAATCTTAAAAGATACATTTATACTGTCGTTGACTTTTTTTTAGATTGTTTAAAGAAAAGTACGTAAACACATTTTTTCGTTACCGGGAACTATTCTCGCAGCGCACCCTACGAAATCCCAAAGATAGATAATTTTCTCTACATTTTTCTCTGTTATTCACTATTAGGGGCAGCGAGATGTTTTTTAGCCTAAGGCCATCTTCGATAGACGGTCGAGCCAACACTAAATAATTTTCCTTTCCGAATTAGTAGTTCTTGACATTAGCGCGTTTAAACAAACAAACTCTGCAACTTCATAATATCTTTTAAAGATCTCCACCGGTGTATTATGGTTTGACAGATTCCTTAGCGATGCGTTAAGATGAAATTGTTTCGGTCGGACAGAGCACAGTCTGTTCTACTACTTTCTCCTTATAAAAATTATCTGTGAAACGAACGAAGCATTTATCCGCGTCGTGTCTCTTGTAGGAGGAAATACAATTATCTGAAACTCGTAGATTATATTAGAAATGTTTTTCTCTAAGATCTAATCTCGTTACATTACCCATGTCTCTTATTTCTCGGCCGGAATAAAGAAATTTGCGAATCACACTGAGATCCATTTGATTCGCAAACATAAATTACACAAACGGCAAACTAACATCAACAGTGTGAAAAACAACACCAAGGTTTTATTATTCATACATAGATGTTGCTTTTTCTGCTTACCATCGTAGTTATTAACCGTTAACCATAACTTTCTTTAGACTATGTACTATGCCGGCACTATCGCAAATGTGTAAAAATATAACCAGATGAAACCCAAAGGGTTACTTGTTTATTTTTCATACTCAATGCGAAGCTCACCTCTCACACTATTTAGTTTCGCTATTATTATTTTATTCAACACACTAACTTAAACGGTAAGTGGTACATGCATACTTACTGCCAAATTAATAATTCCTTTTGCATTTTCCGTCGGGTAAATATATAACCATTCTCTATATCGTGTTTTGTATAAACTGAGATTGTTATTGAGTTTGCTTAATATTCTGTAAGAGATGTTAAGTAACAACAAGTAGAATTAAGCTAGAGCTGCGCTAAGCCATCTTGCACAATATTGCATTAAAGCGTTTTGAAATTATAATGAGCTTTTACTATGTAGTTACTGAAGAAGATTTTCATATGAGACTCATTCCATACTTTGCTTTGAAATTACATTTTCATACTTGTAAAACCCTCTCTTATAAGCTTCAGTGTAAAAAAAAGCTATTCATTGTTATTATTGTTATTTTTTTTCTATGCAGCACACAATCTAAATGTTAAAAAATCTTTATATATGTGGTTCCACTCTTGTCTACGCCATATATTAAGTTAAATCAATTATTTCCTTTGACGATCGCTCGCAAACTTTTAATCTCCTCGCTACAGCAATTAAAATAATTGTGTATGTTATATTAGACGAACAGCGAACCCTTAGTCCATATTTAAATTAAATTGCTAACACATTATAATAATTCGATTTCCATCACCTATAGATTTCTATGATGCTCAATCAAATTAGTTTATACGGGTAGTGCACATTTCCATAAAACACCTTTAATGGTTTAAAATGTCAAATATATTAACATACTTATTTTTGATTAAATTTTTTTAAATAAAAATGGTCCGACGTTTAGGGTGTATTGCAGCAGCGTGACTGTTAAAGGTGTTTTATATAACTAGCTGTCACGAAGTCGCTGGCTTCGTCCACGAGAATCGTTATTTTCGGTATCCAAATTAGTTTTTGCAAACCCCGTTATCTTTATAAAATTACGCTGTTACCCACGACGTCGGTTGCGTCACTTCCTGTCGTTCTTGTAAGTTAATCTTAAAAAATAGACTTTTTTTAGATCGTTTAAAGAAAAATCATTCTTTTATACATATTTTTAGGTATCTTGAACCGTTTTCGAAGCGTACGCATCTGAAACCCACAGAGATGAAAAATTTCCCTCGTTGTGTTCACATTTCGCGCTGTAACTTCGCTCCTATTAGCCACAGCGCGATGTTATAGCCTATAGCCTTCCTCGATAAATGCTCTAATCAACACAAAAAAAATTCAATTCGAACTTATAATTCCTTAGATTAGCGTTCAAAGAAACAAACAAACTCTTCAGCTTTATATATTAGTATAGATAGACATATAAAATTAAGATCCTCCCTAAAATATACGTGAAATATTATCCAAGATTTTCAGTCAAAGTACTTTTTAAGCCGTTAAATGTAGAATAATTTTGCTTTCAGGTAAAGCCAGTTATTATAAAATAAACACATTAATCACTTGATAATATAAACGCTGATAGCGTGTTGATTGATCTAGCATGTGCGTGCTAGTGTTTCGTATAATCAGTTTATTTATTGAAACTTTCAATCACCTTCAGGTGAACTTTAAAAATATTATGTTAAATTCTAGACTAACGATTATGTTCACAATAGTATAATGTTTATAATTTAATAACTTAATATTCTTTGCTGTTTTACAATAATAACTGAACCATTTAAAGCATCTCTGAAAAGTACATTAAACAATAATACTTTTTATATCTACTGCTTGGTTCTTTATGTTAGTATATATATACATACCAACTTTTTGTTTCATAATCGAAATTTCTAGTGATAATAAAAGAAGAAAACTTAAAACAATAGAATAAGTTTATGACAAAGTCGGACAAAGGTGGTGGTGGCTTAATGAACAAGGCTTACCTACTGAATTTGTGAATATCCACCATTTAAAACCTACTGAATTACGTTTTATATAATTACGAGAAATTTATATTTTTCCTCAAATTGAATTTGTTAAGTATACATTTAAACAAAATAGGCTAATAAAAAATGTTTTTGTGAACCAACGAAAAATCGATAATAATAATATATATATATATATATATATATATTAAATACAAAATACCTAGATCTTTCCAGAATTGTACGACCCACTGCAGTAGCAACGTCATAAATCAACAAGCGAAAAATTGCGTTCTTTAACTTTCAAGATTTATTAAGAGCCAACATCAGGTTTCGTTAAGAACTGTGCCTGAAATCCCATTTGCCCCGCGTTAGACATGGGGCAGACGTATTACTGCACGTAGTCTGAACGAAATCTTTTATTAGGTTTCCCTAGAAAGCAAGGTTTTATCATGTGACTTGTAGTAAGAAATACCTGTATGACGTAGACATTTTGTCTTACAAATAAATGTCATTTATGCCAGCAGTTGTCCGACCGACATTATCCGAAACCAAGACTTGGGAAATACCCATGCATTTTGGAGCTTTGGAGTCGTACAAACGTGTTCCTAGGGCTCAAAAGCACCGTAGCGGACTGGTGGTTTGTTTAGAGATTCTTGTCGGCTATTGTCTCCGAGGTGGTTGTAGTACGATACTACACTCCCCATAGTCACTAGTTAGGCATGTTAGGCATTCACAACATCAGTTAAAAAAGCCATGCGGCTAATCAAGAAAAATCAATAAATAGAGCTAAACATCCTTCAAAAGATATTATCTCCAGAATCCTAAACAAACAACAGCTTGATAATGTTATAATTACAAAACAAGCAAAGATATCACGTTACCAGAACCGAGCGTAGTTTAAAAGTAACAGATCACATTTCTCAAAGCCTGCATGTTTAGAGAGCACGTCGCTAAAATGCAAATGCTCTTATCTCCTCCAGCAGGAGAGAAGATGACTATTACAGATATATTACTCTATTAGCACCCTTTCAGAACGATGCTATAAAGCTGCCGTGGGGGAATTACTCTTTATTATAGGAATAGGCTTTTGAATTCTATAAAAGCTGCTATTATTCACTAGCTGTTAGCCACGACTATGTCCGCGTCCTTTCTTGCGATATCAAAGAATGGACATATACTGCCGCGCACATTTGTTTAGATAATTTAAAGAGGAATTATTATATCATACTAGCTGGTGCCCGCGACTTCGTTTACCCAGGATTATGATTAGAATTACGTAGTAAGGCGCATTTAAATTACGTGGTTTTACGTGAAAGAGTAACAAACATCCATCCACACATACAAACTTTCACTTCGTCTGGACATCTAGATATTATACGGGTAGTAGGAATATACAGATAAAAAAGACATGAAGTTTAATCGCGCTTCAGCTTAAGTCTGTGAATTTCCTAATGAAAAAAGCCAATATGTAATGGATTTTTGAATGTTATATTATTACTGAGGTATTTCACCTTCCATCAAGGGGAAGCCCATACTTGTCTGTCCACCCCTATTATAAAAAAAAACAACCCACTTTTCATTCACATTCTCATCGAGTAGCATATTATGTCTATGTAGTCCACTTAGAACACAACAAAGACACAATATTTAGATGTTTATTTGGTCACGGAGCTCTCATATACTTCGATATCTAATAAAAATGATCTACATTTACTACGCAACTAGGCGGTCGTGTTTTTGTTAGGTTTACCTTATTTTTATGAGAAGAAATGTTCGGCTTCTCCAAATGATCATGAATATAGGCTCTAATTTTGTTATTCACTTTATTATAATTGAATTAATTTAAATATTTCATTTCCATTATAACCATAATTTGAACAGTGATAGGACAAATTGAATTCATTATGAGTGATATTATATTTAAGTGATCTCTGATGAACAATGAAACAATTGACTATTACAATGTAAAATATTAGATTGGATTGATTTGTGATTCAAAATGGCGTCGTCTACTGGTAAAGAAAGTGCTAAAGTGACTGCGTCTATGGACAGCCTAAAGGTTTCCAGCAAGCACACATCGAAACATGCTTCTTCTGAATCTGTTCTCTCAAAGAAGGATAAAGAATGTTTGCAAATGCAAGAATGCAAGAAAAAACTGCTTGCCATGGAACCACAGATAATTATTCGCGACGAGAACGTCGTTTTACGGTCGCCGCCGCAGAAGAAAATTGTAATGCCACCACAGATTAATCCAGAGGTTAGTATGAATAGAACACAGGTTTTATATATTTTTTTATTACACACTGAAGTATTCATCTTTCAGGATTTTATATTTAATTACATTATTTCTTTTTGACTACCTGTACCTTCATATCGTCTATTTTTTACATCTTTCTATTACTATTATATAAGAGAAAAAAAAAACTTCTAATTCGTGCGTACCAAGAGTATGTGAAGTCCTGAAAAAACGTTTTAAGCCCTTAAAAATCCACTGGCAGGGGCCTACAGTGGATTTTTAATTACTGTCTGTAATTTACGGAAGTGGAACACATGAAAAAAAACACTCATATCGGTTTAAACGCGAAATGTAATCTTTAGTCAGTTCTGCAAGGACTCGGCCAATTTAAAAAAAAATCCAACTAGACGAAACAGATGGCGCTAGCGTAGCAGTTTTTACTCTTACATTAAGAGTGCCTTCATTTTGCGAAGCTTCTGAAACGTCGAACTGTAGCTTAAATAAAGTAGAGCTAAGCTTAACTATTACATTTCGCGTTTTAAGCCGTTAAAAATGGTTTGCTGAGGTCAGTTTTGGACTTAAATAAGTTGAATCGACATCGACAATTTAGGAGCTAGGAGTGTAATTACTGATAGTAATTAGAAATCTATGTGAATCTGCTATCTTGGACGATAATGGGAATCAATTAGTGTATTAGAGTGAACACCAGGGAGCTTAGCTTGCATTCCGATTAAGCTTCTATGAGCGGCTGCCAATTAAACTTGCGCGCTGAAGGCTTCTCAGCAGAAATTCTATCAGACTAGGAAGTGAATATACGAATGTGTCAGTTTATGAAGCTTAAAGATAAAGATCAAGCAAAAAATTCTTATGGAATAAACATGACACATATTGTCGATATTTAGCTTATAATAGAGAAAACCAAGTACCACAAAAAAACCCTTTGTTAATTAAATACGGTCTATTGTTTACGCGAGTAGTACACATTCCAATAAAACACGTTAACGGTTTAAAACGCGATATATTAGTTAAACGCTGATGCATCCGAAACGTCGGGCCGAAGTTAAAAATCATTTTCAAATAAGTTTAACTAATATATCGCGTTTTAAACCGTTAAAGTGTTTTATTTAAACCCTTTGTTCCTCAAATATTTTATGACAATCAACCAGAGACAAGATCAAATAGGTAATTCTCTGGTATTTACACAATATTTTTCCTTAATTTGTAAGCGTAGTTTAGGATATTGTAACAATAAATATATACAGTAAAGATCGATTAAAGTTTAAAAAAAATAGTTGTGTAAGAACATGTGTATAATATTAAAGTTTAAAAAAATAAATACATTGTCTTAGGGTAATAACACTAACTTCTTTACAATTATATAAGAAAGTATGAAAATTGGTTACAAATAACAGAATTTCCGAGGATCGAAAACAGAAACTTTATTTTAAGTATATCATGATAACTTAACTTTAATTACATCTGAGACTCCATACATCTTCGACCCCCGTTTACCCGCTACTGAAAAACATACGGAACGTAGGGTCGTAGTTGAATAATCTTATGCGATAATCTTTAATCTCTTGACTGAAACTTATTGAAATACAACAAGCAAAAGTTCCACAGTTTTTATCACACGCTACTGTTAAAGGTTACATTAAAGGTTGACCAAGTATATTTTTTCTTATTTCTTGTGTACTTCTTTTTTCTAAGAAAACAGCAAAGATTATTATTTTACTTGACGATTTTTCTCTCTCTCTTTTCTCTAACTCGCAACGGGGTTTGTTGCTTCTACTGTCGTTGACTATGCCTACATCCTCGTCCCTATGTAAATGTCAAACTTAAGAAATTTCAATCAGTCTATTTACGTATATACATTTTTAGTATGTAGCATGAAATTATGGCTTTATTAAGTAAATATTAGGTAGTTTCATTAGTTAAATATATAATCTAGTGCATGTGAGGCAATCACATATTAACATATTAATGTGAGGCAATCACGATCTTGTAAATTTTGTATTTATAAATAGGTATTTCCTTTACCGTAATAACTATAATGTTACGAAAGAATTACACTAATGTTCTTGTAAAATTATCATGGTTTGTAAGTTTAATATCACTTTCATTATCTTTTGTCCTTATCACTTTTATTGCAGGAATTATCGATGTGTTATAAAAATATGTTAAATAAAATCTTGGTCATCTAAGTCTGTCAAGAGTATAGTTGAATATATGATATGAAATTAAAAATGTAATGAAAATGTAAGCCACGCGATATTAGCTCATTTCGCTCGTAGCCAGTGGTCAGTGGGCAACGAGCCATCATATAAAAAGGTTCTTCCAACCGCGATTTAATGAAAGCCATTTTTAATCAAAAACTTTCTATTTATCCTTTGAAATTCTTATAGCGGCTTGCTGAAAATACGTGATATAGAGTATTATATTAATTCGAACGGGCTTTTTTCAGGTGAAAGATTTAGGCTGGTTAGGTACGAATCGTACGAACGTATCCAAATCAAAAGAAAGGAGAATTATTGTTTCTAAATATGGCGCTCTTTTATCATATACTAAAAGGCTTCTACTTCCCGTCGTCTCTTTTTTTTGACTTGATCTTACGTATTGAGCCCCGACGGGGCCACTAACACTAACCGGGCGTTTGGGCGAGTTTGCGGCTAGACCAAGGGTGCCCCGAGGGGGGTATCGGCCTCGGCTTGGACCGCCGCAATGCGGGTGGGAGCTTGGAGAGCTGGACGGAAGCTCACCCGGGTGAGCGGACTTCCCGTCGTCGTTGCAAATTAATCTTAAAAGATAGACATGTAGTGTCACGGACTTTTTTAGATCATTTAAAGAGATATCATTTTTAATACATATTTTTTGGGTATCTTGAACCGTTTTCCCTTTTCCGTTTTCGCTTTGGAAATCCACAGATGTGAATAATTTTCTTGCTTTATTTTACATTTCCCGATGTTTCTTCGCTCGTATAGATCACAACGCGATGTTTTCTAGCCTTTCTCAATCAAAGCTCTAACCCATGACAATTTCGCAATTCGAAACGATAGTTCCTGAGATTAGCGCGATTAAGCAAACAAACTAACTCTTCGGATTTCTATATTAGTATAGATTATAAACCACTTCTTAATTGTGTGTAAAGGAGCGGAAACTTCACCCAATTTGCTCTATCTCATTCTAGCGATCTCATTGGTTTCCCAGCTGTTACCATGGCATCGTTACTTCGCCCTATATTTGCTTTGTCTCCGAAATTCCTTATTATGTTATAAATATGACGATAATATAGGAATTCCAAGATATTTGAAGAAAATCACCATTTGATATCGAATCATATGCTCGTGTACTTATTTGATATATGAAGGTACATATGAAAAAGCAATTACAACTTTAAACTTCGTTTTTTCTGAAACATGTTGAATTTCGTCTATTCTATCGGATATTAAATTGGTACTATGAATAGCGAAATTCTGTCCGGATCACGGACCACGATCTACAGATAAAAAAGCCGTTAAGTTTAATCGCATTTCGGTTTCAGACTGTGGATTTCCGAATATCCAACCAAAGTAGGCTAGTAACTAAACTTGCTTGAAGCTAGAAGCTATGACCATAAATTATGCGGATGCATTCATTGTCACGGTTACTCTCAAGCGTCAACATATATATTTCTTTAACCGTTAAAAGTTTTATTTAATTAGATAATACGTGATATACTTTCGGATAGTCGAATTACAATAATTGTCTACAAATACTAATCGCCTCCAAAGACCAAGACGTGGCGGGCAAAATCTCAGTGATAAGAGATTTATCTTACTTGAGTGCTCTCAATTTTAAATATTTTAGCGTAAAGTAAAAAGTGATAAATGGTTTAGTATGCAAAAAATACACAAAATACCTGGCTTCGGTCGACAATGCAGTGCAGTTACATACGGGAAGTACTTCAAAAAAGATTCACTTACATTTTAAAGCCTTGGCCATCGTCCCAGGCTCGTTAAATTGTGCCAAGGACGACCTGCAAATGCTTTCCCTGAACTTTATAGACTTGCCAACTTCTGTTGTTCGGCAAGGTGTTGCCAGAACTTTAAGAAAGTTCTGCTTTCTGCTTTTATTTTTTGGATAATATGATTTAGTTAGTTCGCCCCAGGCCCCATGGTTTTAATGTATTCCGCTATGAATATATGAATTTGATAAATCCTTATTATTTTAGTCCACAAGAAAATACTGCATTAAATTCGTCCGATTTCCGATTATTTATGTTGCCATTTTTTATTGAGAGCATAGTTTGCTTGTATTTGTGTTAAACAGTTAATTTATTTTACAAAATGTTATAAAATAATTTAGGCGAGAGCAATATTAACATACTTAAAAACTTCACCTCAGAACACTGGAATAGAGTTTCGTGGATTTTGTTGAAAATATAATATTTAAGAGATACAAACTTTGTTGAGTAAATATTGTTTAAGGCCGCGGCATACGGTTGAACTCTCAGACTTGTTGTCAAGTAATAAGGATTAAGATTTTCAATTAAAGTGGTTAGGAGTTCATTAAATCCTTCAAGTGTGCTAGCAGATTTTTTTGTAACAATTGTTCTGCTAATTATTCTAAAATATATTTCGTCTAAGTATTAATATTTGAAGACATAATACAAAGCGTGTATTTATCTATTGCGCTGTAAAAAACATTTTATATGAAAAATACAGTAAATATTTACAATTCGAGTATTTTATTCTGTATAGTTAGATCTGTCTGTATGCTAAGGTAGCAAATTAATAACGCAATGTGAATATTGTCTACAAATTTATATACTACTAGCTGTACCCACGACTTCGTTCGCGTGGAAACTTTCTCCTCAGCTTTAGAAATTATTGCTACCCGCGAGGTCGTCCAAGTCCCGTCATTTGTACAAGTAATCTTAAAAGATAGGCAAATATCGCCACTGACATTTTTTAGAGCATTTAAAGAGTCCTTGCAGCGCAGTCGAAGGAAGATAATATATTTTTTATCCAGTTTATTCTACA